AGGAAGGGTCCCCAAGAGCAAAAGGCAGGAGAGAGCAAACAGGGTGGCCTGAAGTGGGTGATCTGCCAGCCACCCACCCCTTCCCACACCCAGACGCGGGCCCAGGGTGCTGTCTGGGCAGAGGGGAGAGGAAAGCTTCGTGACTCACAGATAGTGTGCCCCACCCTCCCTGCGCAAGGATGCCAGGGAGTGGCCTGTCCTGGGGAAGATGACTTGGGGTCCCCTCCCCTACCCCTTGCTTTCCTGGCAGACACCCCCAAGGCTGGGCGGAGGCGGTGTGAAGAAATGAAGACACTGGTTTGTGGCTCTTGGCCCCAGCTGGCCTCCGGGCTGCACCTTCCCCAGGCTCCCACTCGTCTGGCCACGCCGCCCTGCCAGGCCGGTTGTGAGAAACTGAAAGCGGCTCCTCAGCTGGGCATCTCCAAGTGCTGCCACTCACCCTGCCCTCCCGTGACACCTGGGACAGCTGTGCGGTGGCCGGGATGGCTGGGGGCCTGAAGCTGGAAACCAGCCACCGAGTGGTTCCCACCTCTCCCAGAGCAGGTGTCTCAGGAAGGGGCTCGCCTTCTCACGCACGCAGGGGTGAGGCCTGCATTCTTCCCTCACTCTCAGCATCCCCACCCTTCCCACACGCAGTCCACCCTCTCTGCAGCCACCGCTTCCCAGCCCAGAAGTCACCCGGCCTTGACTTGTGGTGGCCTGTTTCTCATGTCTGGGTGTCTGCAGCTGCCCAACTGGTCTCCTGCTCCCACCTCTGCCCTCCTGGCCACCCTGCCTGGTCTCGTCACCAGATGTGTCATCTTAAGGAATCCAAACTGGTCTTTCCCACAGCACGGGAACAGAGGTCCAGTTCCTTAGCCAAGGGGCCCACGCAAAGACAGTAAACGCTCTGGTGTGCAGGCGGGTCCGTGTGTGTGCGGTGATGCAGGAGTGAGGAAGCCAGCAGAGCCACAGGCTTCCTGGACAAGGTGGTGTCTGAGCTGGGCACCGAAGGATCTGGGGGTGGAGGGGGGTTTGAACAAGCGGTGACTGGGAGGAAGGGCAGGCCGAGGTGGGGAAACAGCCAGAGCAGAGACTTGGAGGCTGGTCCAGCTACCCTGGGTGTGGCTGGAGTGTCAGGTGTCCTAGGCGTAAGGTGGGGAAGGTGGGCTTCAGCCAGATGTGAGAGACCTCCCAGGTCTCCACCTGGCGAAGTTAGACCTCCTCTGGACAGGGGGGCTGCAGAAGGCTCAAGGTGACGTGACTGGATCTGTGCTTTGGAAGATTGCTGATGGGGAGGATGAAGGAGGCCAAGAGCCTGGAGGCTGGGAGACCTTTGAGGTGGTCCAGGCAGGCGCGGCTGACAGCCTGAAGTGGGGCGTTGCCTCGCGGCACTCGCCCATTTGTTCATCACGTATTTCTTTAGTGCTTCTTCCATGCGAGGCACTGTTTGAGGCACAGGGGATTCCAACAAACGCAGTCCGTGCTCTCAAGGAGTTGGCAATTCAATGGGAGACAGGATCCCGTCAAAAGTTGATGAGCTCTCCAAGAACGTAAAAGAGAGCAGCCAAGGGTGGGGGGCGGGGGGAGGTGTGGCTGGAGAGAAAGTAAAGGTGTGAGTTCCTGCCTCAACTGCTCCCCTGCAGGCACTCTCCTCTCCAGCGGCCCCCATCAGAGCAGGCCCCTGCCCACTTCCCCCTCTGTGCAGTGGCCCCAGAAGCCCCCCTTCTCCACCTCTCACACCTGTGGATCCTTCCACCTCCTTGACCCCCATCCTGCTTCCCCGCTGCTCACAGACAGCAGTTGTTCCCAGACCTTGACCTCCCAAACTGTGTCCTGGGTGAAGTACAGCAATGGCCAGAGTTGAACTTCAGTCCTACTTCTGGCCACGTGACCCTCTTCTTCCGGAAACCTCAGTGCAGTGTTTGAAGGCATTCACCTCATTGGATGAGGCCCACACACATTATACAAAGTAATCTGCTTTACTCAAAGGCTACAAATTTAAAAGTAATCGGGGGCTTCCCTGGTGGCGCAGTGGTTAGGAGTCCGCCTGCCAATGCAGGGGACACAGGTAGGATCCCACATGCTGCGGAGCAACTCGGTCTGTGCGCCACAACTGCTGAGCTTGCACTCTGGATCCCGTGTGCCACAACTGCTGAGGCCTGCGCACCTGGAGCCCCTGCTCCACAGAGGGAGAGCCACCGCAAGGAGAAGCCCACGTACAGCAAAGAAGAGTAGCTCCCGCTCCCAGCAACTAGAGAAAGCCCACGCACAGCAACAAAGACCCAATGCAGCCATATTTATTTTATTTTAACTAAATAAAAATAAAAGTAATCGGGACTTCCCAGGTGGCACAGTGGATAAGACTCTGCGCTCCCAATGCAGGGGGCCCAGGTTCAATCCGTGGTCAGGGAACTAGATCCCACATGCATGCTGCAACTAAGAGTTCACATGCCACAACTAAGGAGCCCACATGCCGCAACTAAGGAGCTGGCAAGCTGCAACTAAGACCCGGTGCAGCCAAATAAATAAATATCTTTTAAAAAAGGTAATCCTATCAAAAAAATACCTTCACAACATCTCAACTGGCATTTGACCAAACAACTGGGCACTGTAGCTGCATCAAGTTGACATTTAAATTTTTTTTTTTTTTGGCTGCGCTGCATGGCTTGTGGGATCTTAGTTCCCTGACCAGCAAACCTGGGGCCAAGGCAGTGAAAGCACCGAGTCCTAACCACTGGACCACCAGAGAATTCCTGGGAAGTCCCAACATTTAAATCTGGCCATCACACCTATTTATTTATCTATCTAATCATCTCTTCTTGATATTCTTAACCCTGCTGAGAGATAAGAGGCAACAAGGCAGAATTTATTCTTCCTGTTTATCAGGTGAGTAGACTGACACTCTCCAGAACCAAGCCCACCACTCCATCACCTTCTAGTTAATACTCTCAGCCCTCCTTGGCCTGAGCCTCTTGTCTCGTCTGCCTGGCAAAACCTCACACAACATTCGACGAGACTCTCAGTGGCACTCATTACCCCCCAGGCTCACCAGGCTGTCTCTCTTTTCAGGGAAGTGCCTTTTCTCTCCTGGTAGCTTCCCAACCACCCTGGCATGCTGGGGTTAGGACCCCTCCTCTGTGGCACTGCAAACAGATCTGGCTTTGAGAGCACAAACTGTGGGTTCCCTGTATAATACCCCTAGTTCTTGTCATGGTGTTTTGGGCACATCAGGGAGCTCCTTGGACACCAGGCTGTTGAAGGCATGGATGATGGAGTCCCTGGTTGTCTCAGGGAAGGAGTCTGAGCCAGCGCTCAGGTCTCCTGACATCTGGTTCAGTACCTTGCCCTCCCGTATAGGATACACTGTCCAGTACAGCTCTACTCCATGCAATCCAGCCCGTGTTTCCTGCACACCTCCTTTATTCCTGGCACTGTGCTAGGCGCCTGACAAGCAGTTTGTCACTTTACCCTCACAGCAACACTCTAGGACGGGCATGATTACCTACATTTGCCAGATGGCATGTTGAGGCTCAAAGAGTGTGACTCTCATAAAGTCACATGGCTCTGGAAAGTGGCAGGACTAGGATTCACACCCAGATCTGCTACTGACTCGAGAGACGGAACACTCTGCCTCTCTGCAACGCCAAGAGGCCAAGCCACATCCCCAACTAGGGTCTGGGAACAAAGAGATGAGGGAGACGAAGAGCCTGACTTCAAGGGAAGCCCAGGTCTGGTGCAAGAAGTCAGTGTGAAAAGCTTCCTATAGCCAGATAACTATCAAGGGTTCCAGGGACCCACATTTGGGGAAATTAGAGGAGATGTGTGAACTGGGCTTAGCTCACTGGGCTGGGGAGGGCAGGCAGGGGGAGAAGAGGGAAGAACATTCTGGGCATGGGGTGTGCTTGGGGAAGGAGCAATCAGGCGAGAAATCTAGGCCAGGAAGAGTTGTTTCCCACCCCTGAGCAGCTTATATTAAAACACTGGAGTGGAGCCTGTAATCCAGGTGGGGTTTTCTGAGCAGGTCCCTAACATCACTTCCTCTGCCTCAGCTCAGCTCTGTAACCTGAGCCATGAGCCCTCACCTGGAGGAAGTGGTCCCACCCCTGGAGCTGTTTCCTAATGAAACTGAGGGGGTGAGTGTTAGTGGCTGGTTCTGTGTGGGTGCACCTCATCCAATCAGTTGAAGGCCTTAAAAGAAAAGACTGAGTTTTCCCAAGGAAGAAGGAATTCTGCCTCAAGTCAGTAACACGGAATCCCTGTCTGAATTTCCAGCCTGCTGCCCTGCAGAATTCAGACTCAAGACTGCAACATTGGGACTTCCCTGGTGGTCCAGTGGGTAAGACTCTGCGCTCCCAATGCAGGGGGCCCGGGTTCGATCCCTGGTCGGGACACTGGATCCCGCACGCATGCCGCTACTAAGAAGTCCACATCCTGCAACGAAGATCCCACATGCCGCAACTAAGACCCGGCACAGCCAAAATAAATAAATAAATAAATATTTTTTTTTTAAAAAAAAAGACTGCAACATCGACCTCCAGCCTGCCCTACAGGTTTCAGACTTGCCAGCCTCCACAATCGCGGGGACCAATTCCTTAAAATCTCTCTCTGTATATATAGAGCCTATTGGCTCTATTTTCCTGCAGAACCCTGACTATCCATTTTATCAATCATATTACATACATCTATAGAATATTGTCTATTGTATTTATCATAAATAAAAGTGACACCTGTGAACCTTTTGTGAGCACTTACTGTGTGCCAGGCACCTGCTACGTTCTTCACAGGTGTCTCACGATGCTCTTACTCATCCCAAAGCTCCATGAGGTCATCTGTGATTGGTCCTATTTCACAGACGAGAGGCCCAGAGAATTCCAGTAACTTGCCCAGGGTTCTAAAGTGATAAAGCCAGATTTGGATCCAAGGTAGTTACACTGGGTCCAGTGCCTACGTGGGGTGTGCTCTTATCCACCATGGAACGTGTGTGTAAAGGCATTTCGAAACAAGAGGCGTGACGCAACTGAAAAGTGATGTCATTTTAGTGTTACAGTTACCACTGGGATGGGCAGGGCGAAGGGGGACGGGGCAGGGTGTGAGTTCTGGCTGGAGGGTCCTAGCACCACCGGGTCCTGAAGGTGCAGGCCCGGGAACACCCACGAGGTGGCGCCAGGCTGCACAGGCCGCTCCAGGATGTGTGGTCCAGGGCTGGGAGCTGGGAGTGATTCCAGGGGTCTCCAGGCCTAGCCCTCCACAGGGCTGGTGAGCCCGGGAACCCCCTTCCTCAGGCTTCAGAGGGGTTTCTCTCCAGTCCAGGGATACCAGCGCCAGAGTCAGGGGCCCGGCCCCGGTGGTGCCCATCTGTTTGGGGTACAGTTCGGTGGTCACAGCCTGGGGACTGGGTCCAGCCCAGCCAACTGGCCAGGTCAGCGCCCAGCTCCTTCCTGTGCCGCTGGTGTGGTCAGGGAAGGAGCGCCCCAGCCCATCAAGTCACCACACAACAGCTCTGGGTAATCCGCTTCCAGAAGTTGCGACGGCGGCTGCTGAGGGCCACCTTGGCCGCCTCCTGGAAGATGGTGTGGACGTTCTCCTGGAGCAGAGCCGAGCACTCGAGGTAGGCCACGGCGCCCACGGCCCGTGCCATCTCCTGGCCCTAACAGGGAGAGCGGACGGGGCTGCCGTCAGGTGGGTGCCGCTGGGGCCTCACGTCCCGCCAACCCCCAGCCCCCTTGGCCATCCTAGGTGCGTCTTCCTAGGACACCCACAGCTCCTGTCCCCTGGCCTGACCAAGCCCACTGATGGCTTCATCGGGTTTCCTGCCTCAGTTCCCGGCTGGGTCTCTGCCTCTCAAGGCATCAACGAATTAACTTCCCGGCCTGACCCAGGCATGCTGCAGAGAGGGGCCTGTGGACTGGAGACCTGGGGGTCCCCCCCGGCTGTGAGGCGGGTAGGCAGGATCTGATGTGCACCGCACTCACTCACTCTCCATCCCACAGCTGGAAACTTCCAAGCCCGGCAGTTCTTGACCATGACTGCCTCCAAATCAACCCCTACCCTGACCCACACCCTGCAGGTGCCAGATGTCTGGTGCTGCTGAGAGGCTGGGCCGGAACAGCATTACCCCAGGGGTTTCCTCTCCTGGCACCCCTACCCCCGTGCCCTGGGCTGGGTTTCCTACCCTGTGGTAGGTCACAGGTTCCAACCTATTTTTCTGCAGCTTCTTCACCAGCAACTTGTCCTTGCGCAGGTCAGTCTTGCAGGCCACGACGATGATGGGCACCTCCTTGCAGAAGTGATTCACCTCCGGGTACCACTGTGGGGAGGGAGGTGGGGAGGGGGTGTGTGTGAGCCATCAAGGGAGTGGGCCGCTCTCCTGCCCTCCAGGTAGACTCCCACAACAATAATCAGCAAAAGCCAGTGTAGGGAGGACTACTCTGTGCCAGGCTAAGACTTTACATGTAATGAATACATTAACCCCCCAAGTCCCTGTGAAGCAAGTTCTATTATCAATCCCATTGTACCGATGCACAAACTGAGGCTCAGGGACGTTATATAACTTGCCCTTGGTCACACAACTGGAAGTGGCAGAATTTGAACCCAGGGGGTGGCACCCAGAGCCCGGTTCCCACCTGCTCTAGAATCCTACCTCTGCAAGGTAAGGGGTCCCATGACCGTCTCCCCAACAGGGTAAAATATATAAAGAAATCAGTGAGGCTTTAAAATTAAAGCAGCTCACAACATGGTTGCAGCAGCTGTTGCCTGTTGGAGGGGGCACTCCTGTCCCATGTCAGCTGCTCTTCGGAATGTGAGCCTCCAGGGCCTGGTTATTTCAGTCTGGACTATAACCTGGGAGCCTGGAATCCAGGCTTTAGATCTCCAGCAGCGCACGCCTGCTCAGTTTCAGGAAAAATTTACATCAAACCGTCTGGCTTCTGGAGCCAGATGGGGCCGGTGTGCGGTCCCAGCAAGTCCTCCCCTCCACAGAACTGCCCTTGAAAAGGGTCTCCTCCCCGACTCCACTTTGCTAAACGCAACAGGGAATCCTCAGACCTCATCCTACCTGAGCCCTGACATCAGCGATCACTCCCTCCTCTGAAACCTGGTCTGCGCTTCACCCCAGGGCCGCGCTCTCCTGGTTGACCCCAGGTCTCCAGGTGACAGCCCCCCTCTCCCCCACGCCCAGTCCACAGCTCTTCCCCACCAGCAACTCCTAAATGGATCTGCCCAGCCCTGCCCCCTCCCAGGAACTGCAGCCTCAGACTTCTGCCTGCCTGCCTGACCCTCCACTGGGACGCCCAACGGGCCTCCATCGCCCACCTCCCTGCCCCCAGCTTGCTCCTTCTCATCTTGGGAAATGGCAAGTCCACCTTCCAGGTGCTCTGATCAAATGTCTCTCTCCCACCCATGTCCAATCCATCTGCAAATGCTGACGGTTCGGTTCTGCCTTCCGAACAGATCCGCTGGCCTCTCACCACCGCCTCTGCTGGCACCCCGGTCCCAGCCACCACTTGCCTGGTCCTTGGTGCCTACAACAGTACCTGGCACACAGTAAGTTCTCGATAAATGCTGCCATCATCGTTGTGGTTACGGTTACTAATGCTGTCACTGGCTGTGTTCTGAGGAACCCTGGAGCACGCGGTTCACACGCGCATGGAGGCCCTGGCAGCAGTGGGGGCGGGGCTGTGGCTGCTGGGTAGGAGCAGAGGAACTCAAGGGACCGTTTCCCTGACACCTGTGTGCAGCCTCGGGAACCTCTGAGATAACTGGGGGACATCCTGGGAGGCCGCTGGGAGCCAGCAGTCACACTGATGGAGGCTGAGGGCTGCTGGAAACTGATGGCTCATGTGACCTTGGGCAGGCCCAGGCTGGGGAGATGCGGGGGCCTCTGGGTCGCCCAGAATCTTCAGGCAGGGTCACGGTAGAAAGAGCCACAGCGTTCTGAGTCTGCAGTATGGGGCAGACAAGGAGCACTGGACCGGGAGTCAGAGGGCCGGCCAGTCCAGACCCTGCCACCAAATCCCTGGGGGACCCTGACTAAGTCTCTCTAGGCCTCAGTTTCCCCATATTTATGCCAAAGGCACTGGACCCGATGCCATCCAGGGCCTGCCGAGCTCTGACAGTCTGCTGGGTCAAGGGTAGGGGTGGAGCAGAGTGGCCCGGCTATGGGGCTGTGCCTGTCTGCCCCCCACCCGCTGTACCCACCCGGTTAGAGATGTTGTCAAAGCTGTGTGGGCTGGTGACGTCAAAGCAGAGGAGCAGGACGCTGGCATCAGGGTAGAACAGGGGCCGCAGGCGGTCGTAGTCGACTTGCCCTGGGTAGAATAGGGGTGGTCACTCCCTCCAGATCTCCTGCCCATTGTCAGCACCTCCCCAGCATCAGGGAGGTCACCCCAACCAAGACTAGGGGCGGGTGTCGATGGGGATGGTCTGGATCAGGGCCTAGACCTGTGCCTCAGGATCCAACACGTGAACGTCCCCCTCGGGGCTGTGTTCCCCTGGCTGGCCTGTGGGATGTGCCAGCGCTGGCCTGGGCGAGACCACTGCTGAGAGAGCCCTGTTCTGGAAGGAGTGGGGGATGTCTGAGGCCATCACTCAGAAGCCTGCTTTGCCCTGGACTTGGGGCGGGGATGGGGGATGAGAAGAAAGAGGCAGGCGGGACCTGGGCAAAGATATCACAGCCCAACCAAGGTAAGGGGGCTGCTGGGATTCCCAGAGTTTAGCTTTGCGTTCTGATGTAGATTTGACTCTGAACCCTCTTATGGGCTAGGTCAGGAGGCTAGAGGGCAGAGGTCACGTTCAAACAGACCTTACAGAAGCTAAAGCCAGGGTGGACCGCTCAGGAGGCCAGAAACGGTCCATCCCTTGAGGGCTAAGAGCTCCGGTTCACCTCCAGGACATGGTGGGCTGCTCTGGGCTGGGGAAGCAGCAGACAAGATGCCGAAGAGAGGAGGGTTCAGGCTCCCGGGGGCCCTAATCCTGGCCAACACCTGTTCCCTGGAGACTGGTTGGCCTCCCTGGTTCGGAAGGAAGGTCGTGGGTCCCTTCCTCCCACTCTGTCCCTCCCCCAGCCTGGCACCCACCTGCTGTGTCCCAGATTTGGAGGTGCACGGGTTTGCCCTTCACGTGCAGATTCACGGTGAGCTGCTCGAATACCGTGGGGGTGTAGCTCTGAGGAAGAAGGGGTCAAGGGGGCAGCTGAGAAGGCGGCATCTGAAGCCGGTGGTCACAGTGCCCAGGCCAGAGCCCAGGAGTGCCCGCGGCACTGCCGCTCTTTGGAGTAGCTTGGAGCAGAGTGGAGTAGTTTCTGGGGGGGAGTCGGCTGGTAGGTGGAGGCCTAGAGCTGCCACTCTGTAGCTGTGCACCCTCCCAAGGCACTGAGCCTCCCTGGCCTCCTCTGCGCCTAAAAAGTGGGTCTATTAAGGCCCCCAGCGCAGCACGTTGCCGAAAGGATTCAAGGAGGAGCTCCATGCGGAGCCCTGAGCACAGGGCCTGGTAGAAAATAAGCACTGTACACATGCCGGGACTGTTATTTTTATCTCTGTCCTCGTCCAGACTGTCCCATTTCTGAGCCTGCCTTCCTGCCGTCCCCTCCTCCTGGAATGACATTAACCTATGTTTGTTCATTCACTCACTTACTCATTCATTCATTCATGAGCACCCTCTCTGGATCCGATTCAGGACACCCGGGAGCAACTAATAAAGACTCATTGCCTGCCCTGGGGAGCTCCTAGCTTTTGGGGGCCCCTCCTTTGCCTCTCAACCTTTCACAATCCAACCAGGATGCCCCTGTTTCTGCCTGGCCCCAGGGGGAGGTCACCCAGGCCAGAGGCCCCTCCGCCCCAGGCCTGCTGAGCCTGAGCTCACCCTGTCTCCACAAAGGCTGGATGAATGGAAGCAGGATGGGTTTTTACACAAGTGCAGGAATAAAGAGGGGGAGCTTTTAAGGACGGGGTCTGAGCAACAGGGGAGAAGGTTTTCAAAACCCTGCCACGACACAAGCCCTTTGCACCAAGGGGCGTGCTGGACCGCCTGCACCTTGGGTGCCCAGGCCTTGCTCCCTTGCTCAGGGCTGGGTGGGGGGACCACAGACGGGAGGACACTGTGGGGCCCTGTGCCCTGAGGCAAGACTCTTCTCTCTGGCCTCAGTTTTCCCATCTGTAAAATGAAGGCCTTGCCAGCTCTCAAACCTTGTGTTTCTTTTAAATGAAGAGGTCTCTTGGGAATTCCCTGGCGGTCCAGTGGTTAGGACCCTGTGCTTTCTGTGCCAGGGCCTGGGTTCGAAACCTGGTCGGGGAACTAAGATCCCGCAAGCCGGGCGGTGCCCAGATAAATAAATAAATAAATAGATAAATAAATAAATAAATAAATGGAGAGGTGTCTCTTGTGCCTGGAGGCAGACAGGTCCCAGGAAATCAGGCTCCCCAAACAGGAGAGGAACCTAGACAAGGCAGGTCCAGCCCTTTGGTGACAGGCATGTTCTTCTCCCTTTCCCTTCAGAGTGTCCTTCACCATGCACTGTCTGGACTTCCCTGGTGGTGGAGTGGTTAAGGATCCGCCTGCCAATGCAGGGGACACAGGTTCGAGCCCTGGTCCAGGAAAATCCCACATGCCGTGGAGCAACTAAGCCCGTGCGCCACAACTGACGAGCCTGCACTCTAGAGCCCATGAGCCACAACTATTGAAGCCCGTGCGCCTAGAGCCCGTGCTCCGCAACAAGAGAAGCCACCGCCAGGAGAAGCCCCCACACCACAACGAAGAGTAGCCCCCACTCTCTGCAACTAGAGAAAGCCCGCGTGCAGCAACAAAGACCCAACGCAGCCAAAAAAAAAAATTAATTTTTTTTAAATTGTGAAAAACACACTGTCCATCAACTGTGAGATGCCCATTTCCGCACTGTAACCTCTCTGCAATTGGGATGGGTCTCACTCTCAAGGCCATCTCAGAGCCCAGGACAGTGGTGGTGAGCGACCACCCCTCCCAGCACTGCTTCTGGGCCCCGGCTGGCCTAGCCTCTCTGTGGCACTCTGTGGTGCTCCCCACACTGCCATAATTGTTGGGTTCTAACAGGCAGCATCTGGGGGCCTGGAAACACATCCCTCCCCCCAGCTAAAAAAAATGTGACTGGCCAAAGGATGTGACATCAGCTCCAAAAACCACAAAGCAAGAGTCGGCTCGATGCTGCCATAGTGGAAAGAAAGGCTGACTCTGGGTTAGCAGGCCCGGCTGCTCCTGCCTCCCGCATCCAACCCCCCAGTGCTGTACCACCCCAGGGCTTTGGCGGGGGCTGGGATCAGCAGGCAGGGGGACGTGATGCTGGAAGCAGACCCACGCATGGACTCCCAGGGGAACTGGGCTGAGTGGGGCACGGTGGGTGGGTGTGTCCAGCCCGTCCTGGTACCAGTGAGTCCGCTTGGACAGGCAGTAGGCATGTCAGTGAAGGAGTGACAGTCCACATGCTCAGGCGTCAAGGACATGCCAGGTACTCGGGGCCGTCTCTCAGCCTTACCTTCCACCTCACCACCACCCTCGGGTCTCTCCACCCGGCAAGGTCGAGCGAGGGGTCAGAGGCTCACAGAGGCTGAGCAAAGTACTGAGGGCCCCAGAGTTTGTTGGAGGAGACTGAGGTGCTAACCCAGCTGTCTGAGCGGCTGGTGTGCTCTTACTCTCCAAGGCTGAGCCCACGGGACATCCACTGTAGGGGCAAGAGCTGGGGGAAGACACGATGTCTCCCAAGAAAAACGCTGGCCACTTTTCAGTGAGTCCTTCCTGTTGCAGCTCAGAGCTGAGCCCCTGACCTGTATGAACTCTCTCATCACTGCGACCCTGGGAGGTGGGCACCACGGTTATTCCTATTAAGCAGTTAAGGAAACAGGCACAGAGAGGGTAAGCGGCTTGCCCCAGGGCGCACAGCTGTAAGTCGCAAAGCCGCGATTCGAAGCCAAGGCTGTCCGTCCCACTTACCCAGGCTGTGCCGCCAAGTGCTCTCTTAGGACCCTCTATGTTCCCCAGGCTGCCTAATTCAGTCCCCGGGACACCTCCCCCGGGTAGGTGGCATTTTTGGCACTTGACAGGCTATGTCACTCCCGCGGGCAAAGTGAGAACTGCTTTCGACCCCACGCTCTGCGGGGAGGCAGAACGGGCGCACTTCCCTCCCGGGGTGGAGAAGGATGCACCCAGGCCGCGGCGCCCCGTTGAGCCTGAGGGGCCGGCACTCACCTCGGGGAAGGCGCCCTCGGCGAAGACCATCAGCAGCGACGTCTTCCCGCAGCCGCCGTCGCCCACCAGGACCACCTTGACGGACCGCGCGCCGGGCGGCGCCTCCTCGCCTGAGGCCTGGGCCGCCTTCATCGCGGGGCAGCGGAGGGAGGGCCAGGCGCAGCGGAGCGGCGGCCTCGGGGCCGGCGGGGCAGGAATGTGGAAGGGGCGGGGCGGGGCGGGGCGGGGCGGGGCGAGGAAGTGCGGGCGGCGGCTGGCGGCTCAGGTGAGGGGCCGGGCGGATTCCGTGGCCTGGCGCCGGCTGGGCCCTGCCCCTCGCGTCCCAGGTCCCAGGCGGCCCGAGGAAGACACACCTCTGTGTGGGGCGCTAGGTCACAGGAGTGGGCACCGAGACTCGGCCTCCGTCCTCAGGAGCGCACCCTGGTCTGATGGGGAGCAGACACGTAGCTGGGCAGTGATGGTGTGGACGGGGAAAGAGGAGCGTCCTGGCCCCCTTCCCCGGGAGAAGGGAGGTGGGGGTCAGCCCTGCTGGCCCACTAGCTTGCTGGGGACAGGGACTGGGTACCTGGTGCCCAGCCTAGGCGGGGCACCCAGCAGGAGCTGGTGACTTTTGATGGATGAATGAATGAGTGAATGAATGAATGTGCATTTCCCCAGGGCTCTGGAGAAGCCCTCCACACCACGGCCTCCCTACAGGTGTTTCAGGGCAGGTGGGAAGGGGGTGATCTGGCAGGCCTTTATGCGTTAGTCACTGGCACTGCCAGCTGGGCCTACCCTCCCCCAGCCAGCACCAGGAAGTCTCACTACAGGCGGGTCTCACCTCTGCCTCGGTCATGGTCTGGAGAAAGCGATGGAACCTTCCATCTGTCAAGCGCTTAGAGTAGGGTCTGGTACGTGGTTGGTGATGCCATGTGTGAGTGATTCTTATAATTTAACCAACACTGATGGCCCCCTGTGCCCACGGACCTGGGGACCCTGAACCGTTGAAGTCAAAGTCTCCCAGGGCCTAGAATGGGAGACAGGCAGGACATCACTGTGATAAGAGCTACAACAGTGGGGGGGACAGGCAGCGGACGGGAGTCGGGAAGAGGGGCTCCTCACCGGGGTTGGGGGTGGTCAGGAAACCCTTCTGAGAAAAGGGGCCAGAGTCTGCAGGAAAAAGTGAGACACAGTTAGATAGTGGAAGGGTAAAGTGTTCCAAACGGAGGCAACAGCACGTGCAAGGTATGGAGGCAAGGGGGAGGGGGGGATCCTTTGCTGGGGGTTGGGGGGCGTGGTGTGGTTCTTCCCTGTGATGATGGTGAGGCTGGTTTGGGGAGTTGGTGCAGGGGGTGAGGCTGAGGGTTAATTAGGGCCTGGAGAGTGAAGCACTTTGGACACCAGGAATAAAGACAGAATTGAACTGGAAACTCACTGTCACCCGACCTCCCACCCCTGTTAGTAGACAGAGTCAAAACATGTATTTAAAAAATGGGCACAAGGGCCCCCAGATCTTGGACTGTTTTCACTGAAGCTCAGACAAACAGAGGGCAGAAGTTTTGGGGTTTCACACCCTTCCCCACACAGGTCATGACATCATTCCTCATGGAGTTCCAAGCCAGGCAGGTGAAAAACCACCCTCAGCCCCCTTTAAACCTCACTGTGGCCCAAAGAGGCAGCCAGGGCAAGAGTCACGGCCCCTCCTGCACAGAGGCAGAGCCCAGACCCCTGACTCCCATTCCAGGCTCACCCAGGACCACAGTCAGCAGGCTGAATGAAGCCTCACCTGGATGGAGGGAGTGCCCCAGGACATCCCCAACCTTTAGGCCCCTTCCTCCCCAAAACCACCAAAGGGCTGGACAGTGACCTGGCACCAGGCTGGGTGTGTAGCCACTGATCAGGACTCCCCGCCCCAAGGAGTGGTGGGGAGGGACCCCATCCCCCAGCGATCAGCTGTCAGCCTCGTCATCCCCTAGTCTCTCCACTACTGCTGTCATCAGGCTTTGGGTGGCAAGGCTGGGAGGCAGGTGGGGTCAGACAAGGGGTGGAGGGAGCTGAGAGTCAGACAGAGGCTTTTGGCCTTGGTTGCTATGGGGATAATCACTCTAATGACACTCCTGATATGCGTCATGCTTTAGAGTTTCACTGAACATTTCCTAATAGTAACAGCGCCCATTAATGGATTGCCAACCGAGTGGAGGCACTGTCCCCTCGCAGGTGGGAAGTGTTAGCCCTGGTTTACAGATGGGACACTTGAGGCCCAGGGAGGTTTAAGCTCTTGTCTAAGATCCAAGAGGCTAGCAGGAGGCAGAGCTCTGAGTTTGAACCCAGGTCTGGTGACAAAGCTGGGCTGTCTCCCAACATCACACCTCATGTGCATTATTTCATTTAGTGCTCAGACCGTGAGCTGGGCAGGGTGGGTGATTGGGAGCTGAGGCTCAGAGAAAGGCATTGGCTTGTGGCAGGCTAGCACGACCCAGAGCCAGGATTTCAACCCAGGTCTCCTGATGTTAAACCCAGCCTCACTCCCACTCTGCGTTCCTGATTCTGTGAGAGGGAGATTAGTCACTGGGCTGGGGAAATCTGCCTTGGTTGGCAGGGAATTTCTCCAAATCTCAGACATTGCCAGGCCCTGGACGGCACCGTTTTCCTGGAGTTTATTTTGGAGTGGGGAGGCGGCCCAAGTCACAGTCCGCCTGGTCAGGGTACTGTTAACTGTCTTACTGTTTTCTGTGGCTGCTGGTCACTACCGGCTTGCGGGTGACTCATCCCCTTGAGGCCCCACCAGTCCCGGGTCCAGAGTCCTTCAGCACCCTGCTCAGCGGGTCACTGCCCTGCAGACCCCAGGCCCTCGGCCTGAGGTGGAATCCCCTCCTTCAGATGCAGGTGGCCAGGCAGGATCTTCCAGTCCCCAGCCAAGTCTTGAGCACCTCCAGGGCAGGGGCCAAGTCCCACCCATCTCTGTATCCCAGACAGGAGTGCCTGCCCCAGGCTGGCATCCAGCTGTGGCTCAGGATGTTATGTCCAGTTCACTGGCTGGACAAGGAAAAGGAAGGAAAAGGAAGGAGCAAGGGAAAGAGAAAGGAAGGAAGATGGACTGCTTCAAAAGCATTTACAAACTGAAGAAACAAAGGAACAACAGTTGCATGGATGAGTGAATTCAGCGAATGACCTGAGTGTCGGGTCAGTAGACAGGTGACCACCCTCCGGCCTCCATCTGCTCCAAGGCCCCCCTGGCCTTGGCCCCTCTGCCCCATTTTCTGACCTCCCACCCCCATTCTCCCTGAGGCCGGAATCCCCTGCTGTCGGGGCCGGGTCTCTGCTGCCCCGTGTGGCCGCTCTGCTCCCTGCACCGTCATCACCCGGGGCTGCCGGCTCTGCTTCGGGCTCCTGGCTTGGGGTCTGGAGTGTTTATGGATGGTTGAAGGAGTGGAGGGACATGGAGGCACCCTGGAGTTGGTGCCAGAGGGGGTGGAACTTCATAGGCCCAGTCCTGCCCCTTGGGATGCCTTGGAAGGGGACACAGACTCTTTGCTCCCGACGCCTCCTGGGATGTCCCCTCCCGATGTCCCCTCCCCTCCCTTTCATCCCAAACACCAGATCCCAGAGCTCCAGAACTCCTCCACCCAAAGCCTTGACCTCACGTTTACTGAGCACCCACTGTGTGCCAGTCAGTTGGCATGTGGCATTTAATTCCATCCTGTGAAGTATGTATAATTCTTATCCTCCTCTGACAAATGAGGAAACTGAGGCACAAAGGGGCTAGATAATTTGCCCAAGATCCCACGGCTGATAAGTGGGGGTGTGGGTGCTTTTAGAGGCCTTCTTGACTAATACGCTCATTCTCCAGATGGGGAAACAGGCTCTTGAAGGGAAGGAATTGTCACACAGCAAGTAAGCAGCAGACCCAGCCTATGGCAGGTGGAACACAAAAGGGCTTCTTCTCCCAAGTTCCCCTCCGTCTGGCCTCTCCAGACCAACCCAACTCTGGCTGCCATTTAACTGGAGCTCAGGGCTGGGGCCGCAGGCCACCTGTCCCTGCCTCGCCATTACTGACCCTTCTGGGTGGGATGGGAAGGTTGATAACGGGGTGGGAGGGGGTGGAGAGTGAGGGAGCCCCGTGGCCCAGTCTGAGTGTTCCTTTAGTTGTTTGGTCTGTCCCTTCAGGTGTCTGCAGGCAGAGACAAGGCAGGAGGGAGGAAGTGAAGCTTCGAGCTGCTGTGGCTCACCCTGCTCCTCCCACACGCAGGCGTGGACCGCCACTGCCGCTGTCAGGACAGGGACCTCCATACCTGTCCTCTTGGGTGGGACTCGGCTATCCTGAGGGCTCCCAGACAGAGGGGGCTTGGGACCCTTGAAGCAGGCCCACGGGCCTGGGGCTGGAGGAGCGGGGAGAAGAGTGGGGTGGCAGGGGAGGAAGAGGCAGGAAGAGATGGGAGTACAGTGGTTTGGGCCCTGCTAAAGGCGGCTGGGATGCTCCTCATTGACCAAGAGCAGCACTCGCTGATGTCCCTCGTCATCACTTCAAAGCGGCTTAGAGCAGCCCCTCCTCCCTGCCTCCCTCCCTCCCTCTGACCTCTCCTGTCCAGGGCCTCACTGCCAGCAGGACCAGGACCTTCGGCCTCACCCAGGACATGAAGCTTCCCCAGCTCAGCCCCACCTGGCCTTTCCAGCCCCAGCTGGCTGCGTGGCTCCCCAGACACCCGTGGCACCTTTGCATAGGCAGTTTCCCTGCCTTGAGGCTGCTCTCCCTTCTCCACCTGCACAGCCCTTGCCACCCAGCGAGGCTGGTGCCTCCATCTCCTCCAGGAAGCCTTCCCTGGTTTCCACCCTTCCTGGGCTCCTGTAAGGCCTGTCTCATTGGTTACCTCTGTCTGCCGGGCTCTGCAGGGGGTGGGGGTGGTGTTCCACAGAAGCTCTTCCTTCAGGCCCTGTGGTGGGCAGGCCTCCTGAGAATTTCTACCCAGATTCTCCTCCTTCCATGCTTGCTGTGATCTTCCAGGGGAGGGGAGGGGAAAACCAGAGCAGCCTGGGATCCAGAGGGGCTTCTCTGCTGCCCCTCGGCCCCACTGTCGAGAAGCTGGGGAAGGCGGCATTATGGTCTAGTAGTTAAGTCATGAGCTCAGGAGCTAGACAGCTTGAGCTCAAATCACAGCTCTGAGATGCTCTGGCTGTGTGATCTTGGGCTAGTTACCTAGCCTCTCTGAGTTTCAGTTTCTACATCTGCAAAAAAGGAGCCAACAACAGACCTACCTCTAAGTCTGCAGGGTTGCAGGCCAGGCAGCAGTACTCACTGAACTCACATGGCCCGTCTCCCCTCCAAGCCTTTCCCCGGGCTCCCTTCTCCCCATCCTCCCCAACTTTAGCAAAGTTGATGCATTGGCCAACTTTTTGTCCACTCCTGCCCTTTTCTACATGCTGTTCCCACAACCAGGAAGGCTGTTTTGGTCTTACCCCCCTTTTCTGGCCTTATCCCTCTCGCCCTGAAGACAGCGCAGCAACACCACTGGGCGGCCTTCCTTGATATTCCCTTCTGCATTCTCCCTGCCAGCCTGGCTCGGGGCCGCTTCTCGGAGCTTCCCCAGCAGCCTCGTGGCACTGGTCCTTGTGACGGTCTCCCCAGCCAGACAGAACCCTCCTGCTCCTCCGGGCGCCCAGCAGCAGGGGAACACGTGCTCACAGCAACCCGCACCAAGGCCCGGGGCCCTGATTTCTGGAGACAAAGGTGATTTGGGGCAAGCAGGGCTCCCCGGAAGCCCCCTCCCTCCTGCCCCAGCTTTATTTTGGTTCTAGAATTATTCCAGTCAGCATACTCGGTCCCCACCACGCCCATCCGGGTGCACAGTCAGCATTTCATGCAGTTAGAGGGAGGGATGGAAGGGGAAGAGAAGGCAGGCGAGTAAATGGTCTGCACAGCAGAGCCACTGGGGTGGAAGGGCGGGGGCCTCTCCCCGGCGGCAGGGGCCCCCGCCAGCTGCGTGTCCCCGGGCCCTGGGCTGGCCTGGGCCGCGCAGACCTCCTGGCGCCGGCCACACAGTGGGCAGCCCGGCCTCGGGACCGGGCCGCAGCTGCGTCAGGTGGGGAGAGCCACCACGCTGCCTCAGGTCCCGTGACCACCCTGGGCTCCCCGACATCACTGGGGGTAACTGGCTGGGCCTGGGTCTCCGCAGCCCACCAGGTCCAGAGGCAGCCAGCCTGAGGACCTACCTCTCACCTCCCTTCCCCCCATCGCTGTAACCCGGTGGGCCCCCCACCCCTCAGCTGCGAGGGGCGCACAGCGCCTGCTTCTCTGGGGCTGCCTTCGGCGGCTTGGAGCCGCCTCAGTGACACCTAGAAGGCCACGCACACCTTCCCTCCAAGACTCCTGTGGGTGTGTAACGGTCCAGCCCTTGGCTCCTGGGCAGGACTCCTCTGGGGTGCCATTCGCACAAGCCCTCACCGTTGGGACTCCGCGGAAGCCACAACCTGCCGGCTCCTTCGCTTGCCCCGAAGCCCCCTCTCTGCCTTACAGGGTTTTCCTGAGGGCTCTCCCCCAATAGACCCCTTGCCTGCGAACCTCGGGGTCTGCTTCTGGAATCAGCCTTGGGCAGCTGGTGTCCTGGGGGTCTGAACCAGGCTCCAGAGCCATGTCCCCCGCTGGCATTCAAGCCTGCCCCCCCAACTCCATCCTGACCCCCTCAACTTCCCCTCACGGTCGCCACTCAGGTCGCCCCTTCCTGCAAGGCCCAGCCCAAGGCCTCGGGCTCCACTGTGTCCTCCCAGGTGCCTGCTGCCCACAGAGGCCTCTCCCATGCCCCTCGGCAGTCTGTATTCTGCCTCCCCATTGCCCACCAGCACCCCCCAGAGGCTGAGGCATCTCTCTTCCCCGCAGGGCCTGGCCTGAAGGGACACCAACCAACGCCGTGGAGCCAATGCCTGAACACAAGGACCTGGCTCTGGGACTCTTTGGACCCCTGGGCCTTATAAGGGTTACAGTTCTATTTCATAGAGGATGACCCAGCGTCCCACATGGCCTGAGGGCCACCGATTGGCCTGGTCCCTCGATCTCTCCTCCTTCCCAGAAAGAGGCCCTTGTGTCCACGGCAGTAGGGTGAGAACTGCGTTTGTGACAGGGATGTTCTTACCCTGCCATGCTGCGGACGGGCCACTGGCCTGGGACACTCAGTTCTTTCCCTGACCCTCACAGCACAGCTCCCATCTTGTCCCCGCGCTCCCCGGCCCCAGAGCCCTCCCCAGGTCTACGTGGAGGGGCCGCCATCCGCAAAGAGCAGATCACCAGGGCAAGGGGATCTTGTCTTCCCGACGTCCTAGGGGCTGTGCCTTGTTCGTGTCACCCCAGCCTGTGCCTTGCACAGCACCTGGCCTCCAAGACTCATGGTCCTTATGCGTGGCCTCCCAGCAGGGATGGGATGTGGGGAGCTCTGAGAGGCCAAGGCCCCGCCAAGGCCAAGGGACAGGCCTGTTGGGGAGCTCAAAATGGGAGCACAGCGGGCCAATGCCTGGCTGCCCTCCCCGGGCCCTGGCCCAGCCACGGCTGGTCCTCAGTGGGAGACAACCCTGGGTCCCTAGACATCCAGCCAGGCCTGTTCCTCCACCGCAGCCTAGATAGAGGGACCAAGATGGCTCTTGGGGACTCCACCGGGGGACCCCAGCGTTCAATGGTTCCAGCCAGACTACAGAGAAGGGTGTTGGAGCTGAGTTCACGCCGGGCTCCGGTGCCCACCCGGGCCCTGCCCCGGCTGCTAGTTTCGACGGACAGGGTGCCACATGGACACGGGCCTGCGCAGCGTGGCCAGCATCTGGTTCCAGTGCGTGGTGCCCATGCCACTGGCCGACGGCCCAATGATGACATGGCCTACGTTGTCCCCACGGCCATCACTGCTGCTCTCAGCTACCGTCACACGGAGAGACAGGTCCTGGGGAGGAAGTGACATGGGTGCTAGGGACCAGGGGCAGTGCCAGAGGTCCCCCATGGCCCCCAGGCCCCAGCGGGGTGCCAGGCACGGCCCCGTGAATCCTCACCTCTGACCTGTCTAACCTCACAGCCCAGATGTAAATGCTGGCCTCACCACTTCCTTGCTGCGTGACCTTGGGCAGTGACTTGGGCTCTTCCTACCTCAGTTTCCCCATCTGTAAAATGGTGATAATCATAGTTCCCACCTGTTCTGGGAACGAAATGAGTTAAAAGGTGTAAAGCACTTAGAACAGTGCCTGCACACCATCAGCGCATTATAGATGTCTGTTGTTAATCCTGAGATAATCATATGTTGGACTCATAACAGGAAGGGAAAGAACTTGCTTGAGATCAAAGTGGTGAAGCTGAGACTGGAACCCAGCCTGACTTCTCTCCTTCCCCTCCCCCCTCCCCTCCCCTCCCCGCACCGCCGGTCCCAAGAAGTGTCTCGCCCTAGGAGGCTGCAGAGTAGGAGTAGTGGCACTAGAACACCCAGGGAAGCAGGGGGCAGACGGGTGGCCTGTCCCATGAGGGTGGCAAGGCAGGACCAACCAGGGATGCTGAGATGTTTTTCTGGATTCCGAACACCCAGAGTGCGGCAGAGTTCTGGGCTTTCAAATTCAGGCCGGCTATCCCAAGAGGGGAGATTAGGGGGTTTCTGTACAGCCCCAGGGCCAAGGGGCAAGTTTTGGCTCAAGGCACAAAAGGACTTTCTCACGTGGTCAGGAATGCCCAAGGATGGAAGGAGGGAGTGAGGGAAGGTGGTGAGCTCCCCATCCTCTGAGGCATGCAAGCCGGGCCACTTCTGTGGCCCAGGGCACATCCTCTGCAGTCCTCCCACCCTTGGCCTGTGATATCTGTGCTGGGAGGGGGTCTCCCTGGGGCACATCGCCTGCTGAAGGCCAGGGGGGTTCTGGGGAGCTCCACAGGGCCTCTGTAGGCAGAACCTCGGGAGATTTAGGGCCAGAGCTCTGGGCGTTGGGTCAGTCCTGGCTCATCCCTAGTCCTCTGCAGCTCCCTCCACCGGGAACTGTCTTCCCACAGATCTCAGCTTAGCTACCCCCACCTGCAGAGGCCTCCCCTGACTGCCAAGGTCTGGCATGCTCTTAGTGGATGTGATTGTCTGCAGACTTTCCTGCCTGTCCCTTGTGAGCGCCAAGGAAGCAATTCCCATGTCCCCAGCACCCACCAGAGGGCTGGTACCTAGTAGGTGCTCAATACACGCTTCTCGACTAGAAAGGTGATGCCTTAAGGCAAACCATCACCCCCTGCAGGAGCTCGGAGGAGATAGACTGGAGGGGATAGAGGGGCCCCCACCCCCTGCGCCATCCCCCCTCACCTGGAGCACGATGGCTGGCACTGAGAAGATCATGGCTTCATTGAACACTGGGTTAGGGTCGTCCCTCTTCACAGCCGTCTTCTTTTTGCTCATCTTCCTCCCATCCTGCAGCAGGTACACCTTGACGAAGGGGTCTGTGGGCGGGGAGGGGGGTGGGGGTGAGAGCCAGTGCGACACTCACTTGGCATAGACCTGCCCAGTCACAGCGGCTCACCAGCCACTCTCTCCTGCGGTCCTGCCATCAGTTCTTTATTGCGTTCCCATTTTACAGATGAGAAAACTGAGGCTCACGCGCGAGTCAGGAGAAGAGCTGGGCTTTGGACTCCGGCAGCCGGCCCACCAGCCCGCACGAGTGCTCCCCTCACGTGAGGCTCTGGGGAGCTCAGCAGACCCACCAGTTTTCATTCTATAAATGGCCCAAACGCAGATGTCAGCCCCGAGTCACCCGGCGCCTGCTCAGTGGAGCCTGACTCAAGGACATGCAGCTCTGGAATAACGAGTCGCTGCCTGCTCGTCACTTACCACCCACTGGGTGTCCTTGCTGCACCTGCCTGGACCCGGGTCCCCCAGGCTCCCAGTCAGCCTCCTGCAGCCCTCAGTTTTCAGTTACTCGGGGCTGAGGCTCCTGCAGACCTGACGCATCAGGTCCTGCCTGGCACCCCCACCATCTCGGTGGCCCTGGTCCCCGTTTGGGATCTGGGATGCAGTCCAGCCTCTGGGAAACGCCTACCTTGTTTTCATACCAGTGCCCCAGCCTCCTGCTCTCAGACTCCCATCCCTCCCCCACAGGGGCTCCCTGCCAGCCTCTGTGGTTCCCATGTTTCCCCAGCTAGATTAATCTTCCCACTGTGCATGGCTCCTGAGCCCAGCCAAAGCCAGGGGTGGGGGGCCTGGCACTGTGCCCTACACCTGCTGATGCCTCCAGGTGCCCAGGGCTTAGCAGCTGGGCCATGGCTCCCACCTGCCCCACGGAGGAGCCAGGCAGCCAGGAGGGCCTTACCCGCTGTGGTCTTGTCGTTGGTCCAGATGAGATTCTTGGCTTTCACCACGACCACTGTAAGACGCTCGGCCGTTGGGAGGTAGCTGAGGGACAGCAGGATCTCGCCCACAGCGTCGGCGGCCTGGAGGACAGGCAGGTGACTCAGAGGGCTTCTGCCCCTGGACTTGAGGGGCCCAGGGAAAGGCAGAAGCTTCCTTCTCCACTGAGAAGCTGCTGCTCTTGGGGGCCCTTACACCAGGGCACCAGGCTGGTGGGATTGAGAAAGGGACCCCTCTCCCGCTCCACAGCGCCATCCCTGCCTTGTACCGGGTATGGGTCCTGCCTTGGAAGGAAGGCCATAGGTTGCCTGTCAAATGCAGCAACAAAATGCAGTTATGTTCCCTCATTCCAGACCAGAGAAAACATTCTCCGGTAGTAGCACTTACAGGTCCAGGTGGACTGGAATTAGTAGATCATTTGCTTAAATAACAGTGATGCTCCCTAAGCGCTGCTACATTTATGACGGTAAACTGCAGCTTGGCCTCTGTCTGAAATGACTCACTTGAGGGCCAGAGGAGTACTTCCCTAACAGAAGCTCTACAGGAGTAGAGCTTCTAAAGGTTTGGTGGTAGGAGCAGTAGAAGGGCTGTAAAGAGTGGTCAGGGTGCCTTTCATTTGCATGCAGTAAACTTGAGTTTCCTTGAGTGTGGCTCAGCTCTTTCTCTAATCTCCTAAAGATGTTGGTGTTCAGGCTGTTGCGAGGACAGTGGATTCCCTCCTCTGAAGTGTACATATGGCGCTGTCCTCAGGCACAGGCAGGTGGGCGGGCTTACCTTGTTCTGGTCCTGTAGGTAGAGCCAGCCGCCAAAGGGCTGCAGCGGGAGGTCAAGCACAGAAAGCTTCAGCTCCACCACCCCTGTGCTCACATTCCGCTCATCTTCATCGATGCCAAACACGGAAAACCGCAGGCTCTTCTCCTCCAGGGCTGCAGGGTCCAGGGGGATGGAGAACTTCTCGTCGAAGAAGATGGAGTAGGCGTTCCTCTGGATCTGCAGAGAGAAAGAGCAGTGGAAGGAGGTCCAAAGCTGGGGAGGAGGTGGCAGCTGGATGCCTGCGAGGCCATGGCAGGGAGTGAGCGCTGGATGGGGTGTCTGGAGACCTGGGCTAGCGTCTTGGCTCTGCTGTCCCCACACTGCAATGCCAATCCTTCCTTTGGTGGCTCAGCCCTGATGATATAAAAGCCCCCTGTCCTCTCCTCAGTGGTGGCCAATCTAGTGGCCTGGCATTCGAAGCTTCCACAAGCTGACCCCAACTAATTCCCATCCTCAGTGCCCATGGGTCCACAGAACCCTTGCAATGTGCCGGCTGAGCTGGCCATCTTTCTTGCACGTGTTCAAGTCCAGCCCTGGGCCAGGCATGCAGTGAGTAGGGATAACTGTTTGTGAAGTTGAGAGTCACTGATGTCCCATCCCGCATGGGGCCTGGCCTAGGACTCTCTGAACGTTATGGGGTGGATGGACCGATGGAGTGACGAGGCAAGGCTGGGCAGACTCTGTTTCTAAGCCTAGTCCTGCCTGGTGGGCGCCACTGGCCTCTTCCCAGGAAGCCGTGGGTGGGCCCTCTGGGAAGGTGCACTTGTGGGCACTGATCCCCCTTCCGTGGGGGGCTGCTTTGGTCACTGCCTGGCGATATTTTAAGAGAGGAGATCTCATCCCAGGCACCTCGCCTGATGCCGGGGGGCTGCCCAACCTGGGGGCAGCCACCCACTCACTGGGATTGGCTGGGCTGTGATGCTAAGAAGCCTGCATTCTTGGGAATAAATCTGTCGGCATCTCCAGATGCCCTGAGCTGCACTCTTCGGTCACTGTCTGGGCTGGAAAAGCCTCTTCTTACCTTGCGCCCTGAAGGCTACATCCCCTACCCAATCACCTGCTTGAGAACCAAGGGCAACCCTTCCTTCCTGGGATAAAGCCCACCTCCTGATCCTGACCCTGACATTCAGGCTTTTCACGATCTTTGGCCCTAAATTCCTTCCTCTGGCCAAATTAGCGCCTTGACTGTCCCCTGCCCATAGGAGTACAGGCTCCCTGACGATCCATTCTCTGTACGTTGCACTTTATGAGCACGTGGAGACCCCTGGGGTGGAGTCCTGGATCTCCTGCTCACTTGCTGGGGTTGTCGTGGGCAAAGCACTTTCCTGAGCCTCAGTTTCCTCATCTGTAAGATGCCCTCAATCCATCCCCCATCACTGGGGCTAATGAGAGGGTCGCAGATGCGTTGGGCTCTGTGAACCAGGTTCTCAGCATACATCAGGCCGTGGTGGCTGCTGTCAACGTGCTGCCTCGAGGGGTGTGTCCAGAACCGCCCAGGTCCTCCAGGCAGCTGAAGCCGCGGGCAGCGTGGATCTGGGCTCAACAGGAACACCTCATGGTCCTGACAGACGACAATCCACTGAGCGCTTACCAAGGACTGGGCTAAGGATTTTGCGTTTCCTGAAGCACTATGATGCTCACTTGACAGATGGGAAAACTGAGTCACAGAGTGCTTAAGTGACTCACCCAAAGTCACACTTCTAGGAAGTAGGGAGCCAGGATTTGAACCCAGGCAATCAGGCTCCAGGGTCCTGCGCCTAACCACCCACTGGGCTGCCTCTCTGAAGCTGGCCTCCCCTTCTCGGCCCTACGTACGCCCTGGTGGTTGGTTCTAGACCCTCCTAGAGTGCGGGGGGCAGGGTGGGGCGGAGAGGAATGACAGTCTCCACCTCTGAGGGGCAGCCAATTTCAGCACAGGAAACAGGACTGGACACGGGTGGGTCTCTGAGGAGCCAGAGCCACTTGGCCGCAGGATCCTCCTGCCCTGGTCACAGCCCGTGCTGGGCTGACCTCGACCGCTGGTGCTGGGCAGCAGGGTGTCTCACGTAGACCTCTCTCTCTCTCAGCAAGGGGGGCGGATCATGGAGGGGTATCCTGGGGGGGGTGCTGGGTCCCTCTCCTTGCCCCTCCCGGCTTATTCTGCACCCTCCCCCCTGCTTTCGGCCCCAGGGGCTGACCTCCATGGGCTGCATCAACAGGCTCCCTAGGCCTCTGGCTTCCGGTGGGGTCAGCCAGTAGGGGTCACTGGAGGGAAACCAGAGGTCGGAGGGAGGTCGGGGTGCTTATTCCTCCAGGTCCTTCTCGGCAGGATCGCTGCGAGCAGACGGCGCCTCTTGACCAAAGGGCACAGCGCCTATCAAGGTGGCCCTCTGCATACACTGGTCCTTAGGTAACCTCGCGTTCCCCTCATCCCCTCAGGCCAGGGTACCACGCCATCCCTGAGGTCGCCCCCCACACAGCATTATAACAGTCCTGTTATTAAGCTGTCCCCAAATTAGCCAACGTGAGCTTGTCATCCCTTCCCTGCCAGGTCCCCAAGTTGACACAATTGACAAATGGACAATTACCACACACTGGATTCATGTGGCAGGACTGCTGAGAACTGCACACAATGGGAGCCTGCAGGTGGAGGCCCCAGACTCCCAGTTCTGTCCTCCCTATAGCCAGCACCTTCCGCTCTGGGATCAGCACCCAAATCTGCTCTCTAGCACCCTCCTGAGATTCTGCCTGGCCCTGCACCCCTGCCTGCCTGGGCAGGACTCCTGAGAGCCTGGGGCACACGGCTGCCCCGCCCTCCCAGCCCCCACTTACCCGGGAAATGCCCACGATCTGCTCATCCGGCAGCAGGCTGACGCGCATGAAGCAGGACTCGAAGCTGGCTTCCTCCCGCTCCAGGAGGTCCTTGCCCTGCAGCACAGCCACGTGGAGGGTGTGGGAGGCGGCATCGTAGTCCATGCTCACCTCCACCTGACCCAGCGTGAAGTCCTGCCCGAAGGTGTTGCTCACGGAGGAGATGGAGTTCAGGGAGTCGGCCGACTGGGATTTTCGGAGGGTCCCGTAGGGGGCCAGGTCCAGCTCACGGCCCATCAGCTCCAGGGGTCCCAGCTCGCTGACGCTCTCAAAGGTGTCCTCAATGCTGAGGCTGCCTTTGCGACTGGGTGCCCCCCTAGTGCTGGCCCGCTGGGCATTCCAGGCAGGCACTCTCTGGGGGTGAGAAAAAGGGACATGGGAGCATCGAAAGGGCAATAGGCATGGTCTTGAAGAGACAGCAAAGAGATCCGGTAAGCCCTGTTCATGCAAGGCACCTCCAAGTTCCCCTTTCGCAAAAACAGGGCATGCCTTAGTTAGGAAGGTTCTTCTTTTTTGTTATTTCATGTCAGTTTTCTCTCCCTAACCAGAAGGTAAGAGAGCTTTTTCTCAAAATGTTTATTTATATGGACTGAGTTTCATACATAAAGATGTTCACTGCAGTGATGTTTATAAAAAGGAAAAATAGTTAGCAATCTAAGTGTCCAGCAGAAGGGGAACGGGTAAGAAAACTAGAGTACAGATACTCAATACATGACAGAGCAGCCTCAAAGGAAGTTTACAAAAATGTCTAACACATGAGGAAGTTTTCAAGTTGTATAACACTAACTCTAATATTCAAATTTTTCTTTTCTCTCAATTGACCTTGGGATTTGAGAAAACAAAAACCTTTGTACTGTAAGCATCTCCCATGTTGGTACATAATCTTCATTACCATAATTTTTAATGGTCCCCTTAATTTGCCATTGAGTGGATCGCCATAGTTTATTTTACTATTCCCCTACAGTTGGACATTTATATTGTTTTTAATTTTTCACAAATATAAACAATGCAGCATTGAATAGATTTCCTTTTTTTTTTTTGGCCGCGCTGCGCGGCATGCAGGATCCTAGCTCCCTAACTAGGGAACAAACCCGTGCCCCCTGCAGTGGAAGTGCAGAGTCTTAACCACTGGACCTCCTGGTAAGCCCCTTGAATAGCTTTCTTAAAATCTTGACTTAGAGGACATAGTTCCCTTTTTTTTCCTTAAATCTATTTTATTTATTTTTGGCTGTGTTGGGTCTTCGTTGCTGTGCACAGGCTTTCTCTAGTTGCTGCCAGTGGGGGTTACTCTTTGTTGCAGTGTGTGGGCTTCTCATCGCGGTGGCTTCTCTTGTGGAGCACAGGCTTTAGGCATGTGGCTTCAGTCGTTGTGGCACATGGGCTCAGTAGTTGTGGCTCTCGGGCTCTAGAGCACAGGCAGTAGTTGTGGCGCACGGGCTTAGTTGTTCCACGGCACGTGGGATCTTCCCAGACTGGGGATCGAACCCGTGTCCCCTGCATTGGCAGGCGGATTCTTAACCACTGTGCCACCAGGGAAGTCCTGAGGACATAGTCCTTTTGAAAGCTTTTGATACATGTTTCCAAAATGCTCTTTGGAAAAGTTGTTCCAATTTACAGTCCCTCCAACTGAGCGTGAGATAATTCCTTCCAAAACCCCAAATGAGCGAGCATGTGGGACCTTTATCTGGTAACAGATTCTGGCTATGCTCTCTGGAACTCTACGTGATGTTAGAAAAATTCTCTGCCAATGTTAAGTGATGAAGCATTTAGCAATATATAGAGAGCCCTAAAAATGTTTATACTCCCTGATACAGTAGTTTCACATCTGGGCATTCATTCAAAGTACGTAATCCCAAATGAAGACAAAGTTTTACACGTAAACCATTTACTGCATTATTTATAGTGGCATTTAGTAAACCATGGCACATACACAAAAAGGAATCTTAGGCAGCCATTAAAATAATGTTTACAATCAACAATATGAGAAAGTGCTTCCGTTTTACGTGAGATGAAAAGGGTAGGGTATAAAATTCTCTGTAGAGATGACACCCATTGTGTAAAAACTATGCATGGAAAAAAGACCGGGGGGGAGGGGCCTAGATTTAAAATATTGGAAAGAAATAAATCAAAATGTTAATAGTTTGAAGACAATTCACAGTTGCTTGCCTCTGGGTGGTGACATTTGGGGAGGTTTTTCTTCTTATTTTTATTTTCCTGTAATTGTCACAGGATGGTGTTTTAAATTGAAAGCATTCATTCATTCGCCAAGTATTCATGGATTACCTAGCACTGGGCTATGTTGGAATGTGGAGGAGGACAAGGGTCCCTGTTCGCAGGAGGAAATTAACCAGGAGGGAGTGAGGCGGGGAGGGAGTGGGGGCCAGTCCTGAGAGTGGACGGTTGGGGCATGGGGTGTGCAGTCCATTGTGCACCCATGAAAACAGAAGCCTCACCTTCTGCTGGGCCTCTGCGTAGTTCTCACCATACTTCTGCTGAAGGTACCTGTAGTCGTAGTTTGGGAACGGGGAGGGGCTGGGGAAGCTCCCCGACGTCCAGAGCTTCCACAGGCTCACAGCTGCAATTCCCAGCAGTGCCAGGGCCCCGGCAGCATAGACACCCACTTCCCAGTCAGGGGGGCTCTTGATGACTGCAAGGCAAGAGCAGAGCCGTCTCTCGTTAATGGGCACTAGGACCCCTCAGTTGTTACACATTCCCACCCAGTGAGCCTGTAGTTCAGCACTGATTTGCTTATTCATTGAAAAAATATTTATTGAGTGTCTACTACGTCAGGTTCTGTGCTGGGTGCTGGGGATCCAGTGTTGAACAAGCTATACACCCTCCGATATCTGCTTTTAGCTCCTTTCCACAAAAACATACATTACCATCAGGAGCGACCCTTGGGTAGAGCAGATGAAGAGCTGTGAACAATGGTTAAATATTCCTTAGGCTTTAAACAGGTAGGGGTTTTTTAAAAATTAATTAATTTTATTTTTGGCTGCACTGGGTCTTTGTTGCTGCACAGGGGCTTTTCTCTAGTTGAGGTGAGCAGGGGCTACTCTTCATTGCAGTGCACAGGCTTCTCATTGTGGTGGCTTCTCTTGTTGCAGAGCACGGGCTCTAGGCACGCGGGCTCAGTAGTTGTGGCTCACGGGCTTAGTTGCTCTGCGGCATGTGGGATCTTCCCGGACTAGGGTTCGAACCCATGTCCCTTGCTTTGGCAGGCGGATTCTTAACCACTGTGCCACCAGGGAAGCCCCAGATGGGGTTTTTCTTGCCTCTTTGAGTTCTCTCTACCTTCAGAGGACTTCTGTTTCCAGATAATCAATGCAGCCTGTTGGGATCTGAGGAAAGTGGAAGGGAACTTGGGGGAGAAAAAGAAATGACCCCCTTTTTGCCTCAGACCTCATCTAAAACAATCCAATGTCCATCAATTGATGAACGGGAAAATAAAATGTAGTACATCATACAATGGAATATTATTCAGCAATAAAAAGGAAAGAAATGATACACGTTATAACGTGGATGAACCTTGTAAACATCAAGCTAAGTGAAAGAAGCCAGTGCCCCAAGACCATACGTTGTATGATTCTATTGCTATGAAATGTCCAAAAGAGGCAAATCTGTACAGACAGAAAGTAGATTAGTGATTGTCAGGGGCTGCCAGGGGTTGGGGGGAGTAGGGGGAAATGTGGAGTATGGGGTTAATTTTTGGGGTGATGAATATATTCTAAAAGTTGATTGGCTGATGGTTGCACAATATACTGAAGCCCACTGAATTGTACGCTTTAAGCGAGTGAACTTATGGCATGTGAGTTTTATCTTGATTAAGCTGTTACCAAAAACCAAAAAACAAACAAACAAAAAACTCAGCCAGAAGTGAGAGGTGGCTGTAGGCTGGGCAGGGCTTGGGGACAAATCCAGATGCTCAAATGCGTTCTGCCCACGGATGTTTTAATAACCTCACTTATCTGAGCCTCACTGTCCCCAAACAGTAATTAACTACCCCCTCAACTGTGTTGGGTAAGTCCTCACCTAGCACAGAGCTTGGCCCACGGCAGAACCATAAATGTTAAGTCACTCTTCTGGGAAACCTGGCTCTGCATTCCCAAAAGAAGCCAATGAGACAGTAGGATTCGTTTTGCAGAAGATCACGCTGTTGGCAAATATAATTCTCTAAACCATTCTCAGTGTTGCCTCTATACTCGATTCAAATGGGGAAACTGAGACACACAAGAACTTGCCCAAGGTCACAGAGCCAAGATGGGGTGGCCCTGGGATCCCAACACTGGCGGCCAGATTCCAGAGCAAGCAGAGGTAAAAACCACTGCCCCACCCGGCCTCCACCCAGCACGGTTCCCTAGCAGCAGGGCGGAGAGATGTGGGGAGGGTGTTTCAGGGCGGAGATTTCTCATCACACAGCCACTGAGCACCTACCGTGTGTGAGCACCCTGCGGAGCGGGTCAGCCCCAGGCCCAGTCCCCGTCCTTAATAAGTGGCTCATAGTCTAGTGGGTGGGGTGGGCAGATAAGTAGACAAAAGAGGGATGGGGGTCGTGATGAGAACAGCCCAGGAGGGCTTCCCAAAGAGAGATGCCTAAGCTGGGATATGCAGGAGCAGCAAGAAGTGTGCCGGCCAAGGCGCCAGGCACCAGGAGTTTACGGAAGGAGGAGGAGGGTGTGCAAAGCTCAGAGCGTTCAGAGCACCCAGTGAGAGAGAGGGAAGGGGGCATTTGGGGATGGAGGGGCCACTGCCACTGCTCCCCAAAGCCTGCGTAGGGAGGAATCATCCAGCAATGGGAGGCCCCAGCCGGGCCCTGCTCTGCTGAGCCCAGCCAGCTCCAGCCAGAAGCTACCATACTTGCTCACCCCAGAGAAGGGCAGGGCCCAGCCTTCAGCCCTGGCATTTACGCAGCACTTAGCACCCTACGAGCTCCCTACCTCCACTTTCCAGAGGAGAACCGAGGCGGATAGCAGTTAAAGAACACATCTGTTGGGTTGGCCAAAAAGTTCGTTCCGGTTTTCGGGCCCAGCTTCTAGACACACCCGAACGAACTTTTTGGCCACCCCAATATTTATGGGCTCAAGGCCACAGGGGTGAGAAATGGAGAGCGTGGTGCAGGTGCTTTGGCTCCCTGAGGCCACCTCACCTCCCTGGCTCCAGTCTCCTCATCCAGAAAGAGGAGATGACACCAAAAACATCCCCATCCAGTGGTTCTACCCCAAAGGAATTGATTCTAAGGGAAAAATCCCAACAAGTTTTATGTCTGGAGTGAGTCATCGAGTCTGTATTTATAACAGCAGAAATCTGGAAGCAGCCTGAGGGTCTGAGCAAGGGTGCCTGTGGTGCTGCCTCAGGAGGGGTTGTCACTGGGCTTTGAGAATGGCAGTTGAGGTCATCAGGATGTCACCGTGGCAATGCAGAGAATCATTTCAGGCATTGTTAAGAGGAAAAAAAAAACAAAAAACAATCCCCAACATGGTATAAGCACGTGATTTTGATGTAAAACTCACGCAGCAGCATATGGGCAAGGGCTGGGCGGACCAGGGAGGCATGGGAGGAGCCAGAGATGCAAACCTGTTTACTCCTGACTTCTGTTGCGAGAATGTAATTTGTGGGATAAATAAAACCACAACAAAGAGCTACCGGGGGCCCAGGGCCAAGACCTGGCCAGGCTCTCAGGAAGTCCTGGGAGTCCTGCGAATAGGGGATGGGATGGGAATGTACCTGGTGCCTGGAGAGTGAAGTGCATGTGCGGGGGGGCTCCCACCTAGACACACACACAGCCCCAGCCAGCTCACAGGGGCTTGGGTGCTGCCAGGAGGCGGGCCAGGGCCCGGGCACAGCGTCCACATAGGCGATGGGCACAGCAAAGTGGCAAAGCAGCCCCAGGCTCCCCTGAGAGTGAGGATCCAGGGGCTGAGGGCCTGAAGCCAGCACCCTGGCTGGCATGAAAGGGGGGCCAGGGCCAGGGACACGAAAGGAAAAACCCCAGCAAGCTGACATGAAATGATGACAGTTAATGCTCATTTATTTACTCATTTTATTGCGTACCAGCCTCTGGAAGGTATGAGAAGAATTCCCCAGGGAAGTGAGGTCTGAGCTGAGACCAGAAATGAGGAAGGAGGAATCTTAGTAATAATGGTTCCCTTACTATTTTCCATTCGCCAGGCTCTGTTCCAAACACTTCATGTATACTAACCCACTGAGTCCTCAGAACCACCCTGTGAGGAAGGTTCTATTATTATCCCCATTTTACAGACGATGAAGCTGAGAGATAGAGGAGCTATTCGCTGCCAGACAATCTGGCTCCAGATCTGTGCTCAAGATCTCCACACCAGTCTCAAGGCCTTAGCCAGGCAGAGGCAGTTCCCAAGGGAAGGGAACAGTATGTGCAAAGGCCCGGAGGTCGGAGAGAGCTGTGTTCAAACTGTTGGGCACTTCACACATGTTAGCTCGTTGAATCTTCCCAGCAGTCCCTGAGGCAGGCCGCATTGCCCCCATTTTACGGATGAGTAAGTGGAGGTTCAGAGAGGTTTCATCACTTACTGATGGCCACGCCAGGGCCTGGACAAAGACCTGTGAGCCTGCAGGTGAAAAGTGAAAATTCCTGGCTGGGAGTTGGAAAAGGTGGTTCCCCCTTGTACGTCCTTCAGCTCAGCCCTGGGCTCGCTGGGGTCTGAGCTAGGGGAGGAGCTGGAGTGATGGGGAGCACCGGCCTGGGAGTCAGGAGACCTGGGCCCACGTCCTGACCCTGTTACTTACTTAGTCACTGTCCCTTTCCTTTGCTGAGCCTGCCTTCTCCCATCTGTAAATGGGGAGGGGAACGTAAGGAGAAAAGATGGCGAGGGTACTTCAGTTCTGACACCATCCATCGTCAGCTGGAGTGTGTCTGGTGTCTTGAGGCCGGTCCCAAGCTCAGTGCCTGCAGGGGCACACATGAGGAGAAGGTGGGAGCTGCCATCCCTGGACTGGGCGACCTCTGAGTTTAATGTCCTGTGGATCTAACATCGACCTTCCTGGGTTTCCTCGCCTTTGGCTCCAGGAATGGCCCCAGGGGAGTGGATTCCCCATGACAGGCTCGACCTTAGGGAGTAGCAGCACATGGGCCTCCCGGGCGATCCCCTCAAGTCCTTCCACCGGAGCAGAAAGACGAAGAGACCTCAGACTGGCCCCAACCCGGCGTCCCCAAGGCTGTGTGATCTTGGGCAACTCACTGACGGTCCTTACCAGTAAAACAGGGCCGTGACTGGTGTCCCACTGACATCCCCCACCCCAGGCCCGGTGGGAGGGTCCTGTGAGATGGCACGTTTGCCGCGGGGACTCACCGCTCAGGTGGTATTCTGCCACGTCCACGGCCATGACGCCCACCACAGGGGCTGAGACTGGAAGGGAGAGGAGAGTCAGTGGAGGGGGCTTCAGAGGGTCATCAACCCCACCCTCCGCTATGGCCCAGGTGCCCATCATCCAGCTCACACTCAGGTGGAGGGGGCCTGGGCAAAAGTAGTGTTTTTTTCATTCTTTCATTTTTATTTTTTGGCTGTGCTGCGTGGCATGCAGGATCTTAGTTACCCGACCAAGGATCGAACCTGGGCCCTCCGCAGTGGAAGTGCGGAGTCCTAACCACTGGACCGTCAGGAAAGTCCCTAAAATAGCATTTTAAAAAAATGGTGTTTAAAGCTCTTTTCAAGCACTCTGAGACCTCATTTCAGGGTTGCCAAACACGAAAACACGAGACACCCAGTGAAATGTGAATTTTGGATTCGTTTTTAGTAGAAGTATGTCCAAATATCGCATGGGACATGCTTATACTGAAATATTATCCACTGTTTATCTGAAGCTCAAAAGTTGCTGGCATCCCGTATTTGTACTTGCTAAATCTGGCAACCCTGCTTCACTTCCGTCCTACCAACAACAGGCTGACCAGCAGCAACTCTGTTACTCCTTAGAGCGGCCCCTCACGGTGTTCCCTAAGGCTGACTTCAAATGCTTTTGTTTAAATGGGACCCGAAATGCTGCATTTCTACAATATTCTATTATCAGTTCTTTCTCTGCTTGGGATGGTTTCCTCCCCACCCTCCGCTCCCAAGTTTTATGAACCACTGAAGGTCTGAGAGGTTTGAAGGTTTAAGTTGTTTAGAAAGGTCTAGAAGCTCATACAAGCCATCACCTGCCCAGGCAACTGCTTACAGTTTTATTATTTTTGTTGCTAAGAAGTAAACTGGCTCCCAGACATGTTCTAAATGGGGTGGGGGGTTGAAAAAGGGAGGCTAGGAGGAGCTGTATGGATCTCAGCTCAAGGGACACGGAGGACAGGATGGCCCCCACGCTAACCTCTGCATTCCCTCGCGGTTCAGAGAGGTGGTTATAAACAGGTAAGATGGGGTACACGGGGCGGTGGCGGGGGAGACCTGCAGAGTGTCCGTCCACCCAAGGGCAACTGCTTTTCTGTTCCCGCGGGAATACCAATGCAGCCTGGCTGGATCTTCTGAAAAGCCAGATACCGGTATTTTTTAACATGCAGTTTCTTGACTTTTAAATGTTGCAGCCAACTCATAAAAAATGTAAACACTACTGGGTAGAGAGGAAAAGGGTCCTGGGTGGCGGCTAGCCTGTTTGCAACTCCTCAAAGGATTGTGTGGGCTCCCTTTGGGACTGGGGTCAAATCAGGGGGTGAGCATTTTCTAGAATCCTGGGGTTCTCCCCAGTTTGTAGCTCTGGAGTCAAGAAGCTGGGGTGCCTTGATCCAGACGGGGTTATCCGGCACATGTGGGAGTGCCGTAGGTCCCAGGACAGGAGGCCTCGAGAAGCAGGGCGGAACAGGGCCCTGGGGCAAAGCCCTGCCAGGTACACAGACAGCTCCTTGCTCCCAGCTCCCCTGATGATGCCCCCACTCCCACAGTGAGATGTGGGTTGTCATGGTGATGGGAGGGAGGCGCTAACCTGGACCGGCTTCACCCATGCCAATTCAAGTGGAAGCTCATTGCTGGGACCTGCTGAGATCATGATAAGTACCTTGCTAAGCACCTCTTACACCCAAGCCCTAAGCACTTTGCATGTATATTACCTCATATATTACCTACCTCTAACAGCCCCTTGAGGTAGGTGCTATTACTATCTCTGGTTTGTGGAAGAGAGTCATGAGGCAAGGAGGTAAGGTCATTTGCCCCAGGCTACACAGCTAAGAAACTGTTCAACCCAGGCCACTGGTTCCACGCTCCCTAACCCCTGTGCCTTACTGCGGGGGTGGGGGGGGGGCGGCATAAGGATTCAAAAGTTGCCTGAGAACCCGCAGGCCAAATTAGGCACTGTGTACAAGCCCAAGGTGGCCCTACTTCGTGGCAGAAGGGAGGCTGGATACACCAAAACACACATGTTAACATGAACACACATGTCCCAGTCTGCCTCTGCCTTGCTGGGAACCTGATCATGCCATCAGCTTTCTTTCCTGTTTCTCTAGCACAGGCTGACTTCCTGCACGGGGACAGCCCATGCCAGCAGCACACTAGAGTGGGTGGGCTGGGTACACCCCTGCGGCAAGTTCCTGTGGCTGGGGACAGAACCCCATACCTGCTGTATCAGACCTCTGGCTGTCGAGGGGCCCCCATGTATCAGACCTCTGGCTGTCGAGGGGCCCCCATCTCTCCAAGGCTGGTCCAGCTCAGACCCCAGACTCCCACTCTGCCCACCTTTCCCCCTCCCCTCATCACAACACCCCGGGAGCTGTGCTTTCAGTGAAGGTGTGAATGACTCTAGGCTCACCCAGGCCAGAAGGTCCCACAGATGTGCCCTGGGAACGGGAGAAGCCAAAGCACATCTGCCTGAGAGGAGGGAAGAGAGAACTTGGGGGAGATGTCGAGGTTCCTGGGATGGGGCGGCAGCCTGAGCACAGCTCTGAACCCCAGATCTGCCCCCTCTGTAAAATGGGGCTTAAGATGGCCTTATCAGGGTGTCAGGAGGGAGGAATGAGAAGTGCAGTGGGGCTTTTTGGCAAATCTTAGCTGCTGTGCTTCCTCGTCTGGCAATGGTCCGAAAGGCCCCTGAGCCCCTACTTTGAGCAGTGGAATTGTGTGGGCAGCACTGCCAGCCTGCAGATGTGTTATATTTGTCTTAAAGTAAGTTACCAACATTTAAAAATTGGGAAATTTCCCATTAAAAAATGAATTTCTTAAAAAAAAAAAAAAAAAGGATAGATTTCCAGCTTCCCGTTAAAAGTAAGATTTGGGAACAGTGGGTCTGTATACCCTGCCACCCCCACCCCCCACCCCCAACAGCCAGAGCTGGAGCTGAGTAGGCTCTGTCCCTCAGACGGGGCATCTGCTCTTCCGGCCTGGCACCTCCTACCCTTCCATTCACTTCCAGAACCTGCTGGCCCCTGGAAGCATCTCTATTCATGAGCCTGGTAAGCAGGCTTTTGGATGAGCTAGGGGAGGTTCAGACAGGTTAAGTGACTTGCCCAAAGCCGCACAGCCAGCAGTGGTAGAGCTGGGCCTGCCACCCCATCCAGCACCTCTTCTATTAGTCGCCACAGCCCCTGTGCAAAGGACTTCATGTACGTCTTCCCCATGGCCTCGCCCAAGACCCCTAGGGGGCAAATCCTGTTATTATCCCCACTCCACAGAGGAGGAAAGTGAGGCTCAGGGAAGGGCAGTGAATTTGCCCAGGGCCACCCAGCCAGTAAGCAGAGAGCTGAGACCGAGCCAGATCTGGCTCTGCAGCAAGCGCCCTTCTTAACGGCTTTACTTACTATCCCTGAGACCCCCTGACTCCATCTCAGCCAGTACTGACAACCTCCGCAGACTCCCGCTGGCAGCCTGGAGGTTTGCCAGGTAGAGGGGCTGCAGCTTCAGCTTGGAACAGGACGCCGACAAGGCACATCCGAGGCCAGGGCAGCCTCTGACCAGAGCTTCCCTGCATTTCTGACCCACAGGAAATGGGGCACAGCAGGGGTGGGTCAGAGCTGCCCCAAACCTTCATCTGAGCCCCTTCCTGGCACCCTTCCTCACTCCATCTATTCATTCTGGCCCCAAACCCCCAAACCCTAAATTGCATGGCGCTTGTTCATTGAAAACAGCTCTGGGTTCCAATGCTGGCTTAACCATACCTACCCGGCAATACGTACCTATTGCTGTAAGAATTAGACATAATTCATGCTAAATGCCTAGCGTAGTGCCTGGCTCGTAGTGTGAACACGATATAGACCTGATGACTGAATGGATAAACGGATCCCCCTTTTACAGATTAGGAAGGCGGGGATGGAGTCACTCGGCATATGAGTAGCAATACTGGGACTGACTCCCGGGTACAATGCATCTGGGCCTGGGCTCTTGGCCACCATGCCACCTCCTGACCAGGCCTTTCGGGGGTGGAGATGGGTGGGAGGAACTGCCACGGGCCTTACTGGAATCTGACCACAGTCGAGGCCTCCTCCTGGGCTTATCAAGAAATGGCTTTCCAGGAATTTGGTGACTCTGCGGCGGAGAGGGTCCCTACGTCTCTGCTCCCCCTCACCCCATTTCCTTGCTTAGTGTCCATGTCACATCTCTGGCTAGCAAGCTTTTGGCTCCCCCTACCCTCACCCTGAGGCCAGCAGGCAATGGGAAGGATCAGGGGGTGGTACAGGGGAGCCCTCGATCTTCCAGGCGGGGAGTCTCTTTAGGAGCGTTAGCTTTGAGATCCTTTTCAAGTGCTCCCACTTCCTGGAATAACCACATCCTGATACCATCCCCCCAAAAGCCCACAAAAACCACAGTACAGACTGGCGAGGATGGTGGTAGCTGGCATTAACTGGGCACCTACTATGTGCTGAGCACTGTACCAAGGACTCGCCAGGTGTTATTTCGGCAAATCCTCCCTGCTGCCCTCTGAGGGGGCTGATACTCTTCCCATTGTACTGGTAAGAAAACTGAGGTGCAGGAAAACACTTGCCCATAGTCACCAGAGCAGACAAGAGGCAGAGTCCAAGGTTGAACCCCAGGCTGGGAGCCCCCTCTCTCCCAAGCTGTTTGGAAAGGCTTCAGATTTCAGGGTGGGGAGGCCAGGGGCTTGGGTCTTGACCCTTCTCCAGACTGGCTGTGTTAATTTGGGTGAGCCTCCTGCCCTCTCTGAGCCTCAGTTTCCCCACTTCTAGTAGGATGCATAGCTCCTGCCGCTCTCCAAACCTGTCACCCACCCCCTGGCTCAGGGAAGAGGCTAACATTCCAGGGTGCAGGTTTCCCAGGCTCTTTGTGGGGGAGGGTGGCCTCACTGGCTGAGGAGGGGGCACCCAGTCCCTCTGCAGCCCATGAAAGAGGGGTCACTAGGAGGGCGTGCTCAGGGCTCCTCCACCCACAGGCCTGGCTCCAGGTCCCCATGTTTGGACCCAGTTCCCCCTTCTTCAGCCCAAATCTACAGCCCCAAGGCCCTGGGATGGGCAAGCTTCCTCTCCCAAAGAGCAGTGGCATCAAAGGTTGGCAGGGAGACCCTGGAAAGCTCCCCACCCGTGCTGGTGACACCAGACAGAGGCTGAGGATCCTCTTGGCCTCCCAGGGCTTCCTGGCAATAGGGTGCGACATGGGGCATTTCCTGAAAACCCAGCACCCATGCCGCGGTAACCCCCAGGATACATGGGGACCGGAGTGTGGGGGGCTGACCCGGGAGTCGGGAAGAGGGTGTGAGGCGGGGCCGGGAAAGTGGGGACAATCAGGGCGCTGTGTGTGTGAGGGGCGTGCGTGCAGCGCGGGCGCCGGGGAGGCGTGTAAATGGCCGGGTGAGCCGCGTGTGTGCACACGCGGGGCGGGCGTGTGGGGCACGATGCGATGCGCAGTGCATGGAGTGGCAGGGCCGGGGAAGGGTGCCCGGCGTGCGCTGTGCCGGGCTTGCGTGTGCAAGCGCGGCGCGGGTGTGCAGACGAGAGGGGAGCTTGGAGCCCGGGGGTCCCCGGCGCTGGGAGGGGCACTGCGTGCATCTGCGCGAAGGGCGCGTACTCACCCCGGCTCCGCGGAGGGGCCGCCGCTCCAGCTCCGGCTCCGGTTTGGGCTCCGGCTCCGGCTTGGGCTCCGGCTCCCGGCCGGCCTCCCGCAGCGCGCACGCACCGGCGCCAAGCCCGGCCGTAGCCGGCGGAGCCAAGCCTGCAGTGTCTCCCCGCGCCCGCCTGGGAGGAGCGCGGCGCGGTCCGGGGGCTCGGCCGGGCCGGGGCGGCAGTCGCGAGCTGCGCCGCAGTCCGGGCACGCTCCCAGGAGCCCGCCGCGCGCTCCCTCGCGCTCGCCCGCCCGCTCCCTCTTTAAAGTGACAAACCCGCGCGTGGTCTCCGCTCCCGGGAGTTGCGCGGCGCTTCCGGGGTCTAAGCCGAAGATCCCCAAGCGCTCCCCGGATCCCAGGGGGTCGTCCGAGGCAGAAGCCAAACCCTCACTCCCTGGCCCAGGATGAGTGGAGATGGGGAATGGGAACGTGCTCACCGCGAGCTTCGAGAGGCTGGCGGAGCACTGGGCACGGAGTCAGCAGGCTTGGGTTCTAGCCCCAGCTGCCGCACCCCGGCTTATCCTGTTCCCCTGTTAGGCCTCAGTTTATTTTTCTGTAAAACGGGCTGGATACTGTGCACCTCCTAGGAACCGATCAGGAAACAGGAGGCGGGAGGTTTCCGCTTCTCTGAATGGTAGGCCAACATCATCTCAGTTAATCCTCACAATGGCTTAATGGTGTCAGTGGTCACTCCGTTTTCTTTTTACAGGAGGAAACAGGTTCAGAGAGGTGAAATGACCTTCCAAGGTCACAGAGCCAAGGGTCAGAGCCAAGACTTGAACCTAGGTCTATGTGACTTTAAAGCCCATACTCTTAACCTCTTAGGGGTCCTACTTTCTCTCAAAAGGAATGAATGAATCATTCAGGAGATATGACGCCCCCGCTGGATGCTAGGCACAGTGCCAGGTGTGGGCGATCTTCCATCTTCCGGGAACAGGGGGACAAGTCCCTCCCTGCCCGCGCAGTCTGGCAGGGAGGCACGCACGCATTAAGAGGGGCTGGGGTGTGCGGGGGGAAGGTGCCACGTGCTGTGGGCTCAGTTACCAGGACAGCAGGCTTGGTGGGTACCTGGGAGGGCTTCTGAGGGGATCTGTAGAATCTGCGGTGGGATGGGAAGAGGGGAGAGGATCTCAGGTGGGGAGCAAGTGTGCTAAGGCAGCAGTAGTTTCTAGATCATCTACCCTCTGGGATTTCGGGGCTGAAAGCAACCTGCGGGCACTGCCCTCTCAGTAGGAGCTGGGTCTGTGCTGGCCTTGTTGGTGGGAGGGGGCATCCTTGGTCTAGAAAGCAGGACCCTGGGGAGCCAAGGATTCAGTTTCACTCTCGTCCACAGGGGACACCCTGTTTTCAGTTCATTTTATGGATTCCGAAGAAAAAGGAGAGAAAGGTCATTAATTATGCCCCTTTGAAGGGGGGGGCTGGGCACTGGGCCATGGGCTCTCATTGCCATTTCTCATCTAAGTTAATCTTCATAGCCAGCCAGGTGCAGTTTGGAATGACCGAGCCCATTTTTCCACATGAGGACACTGAGGCATGAAGGGTTCCCGGTTCGGGAGGGAGCATTGAAATTAGACACACCATCAGCACATAAAATGGCACACTGATACTGGCTTCTGTTGGAGCAGTAAAAAGGTGAGGTTGATCAACAGCAAAAAACCAAATAATTCAATTGAAAAATGGGTGGAAGACTTTAATAGACATTTCTCCGAAGAAGACATACAGATGGCCAGTAGACACATGAAGAGATGCTCAACATCACTAATTATTAAAGAAATGCACATCAGAACAATGAGGGACCAGCTCACATGGGTCAGAATGGCCATCATTAAAAAGTCTACAAATAACAAATGCTGGAGAGGGTGTGGAGAAAAGGGAACCTTCCTACACTGTTGGTGGGAATGTAAGTTGGTGCAGCCACTATAGAGAACAGTATGGAAGTTCCTCGGAAAACTAAAAATAGAACTACCATATGATCCAGCAATCCCACTCCTGAGCATATACCCCGACAAAACTGTAATTCAAAAATATACATGTACCCCTATGTTCATAGCAGCACTATTTACAATAGCCAAGCCATGGAAACAACCTAAATGCCCATCAACATATGAATGGATAAAGAAGATGTGGTACATATATACAATGGAATACTACTCAGCTATAAAAAAACTGAAATAATGCTATTTGCAGCAACATGGATGCAACTAGAGATTATCATTTTAAGGGAAATAAGTCAGAAAGAGAAAGACAAATACCATATGATATCACTTATATGTATAATCTGAAATATGGCACAAATGAACCTATCTAAAAAAACAGAAACAGACTCACAGACATAGAGAACAGGCTTGTGTTTCCCAAGGGGGAGGGAGGGAGGGAGCAGGAGGGACTGGGAGTTTGGGGTTAGTAAATGCAAACTACTACATTTAGAATGGATAAACAACAAGGTCCTACTGTAAGCACAGGGAACTATATCCAATCTCTTGGGATAAACCATAATAGAAAAGAATATAAAAAAATGTATATATGTGTATAACTGAGTCACTTTGCTGTGCAGCAGAAATTAGCACAACATTGTAAATCAGCTATACTTCAATTAGAAAAAAAAAAAAAAAGGTGAAGTTGAGGCTGTTCTGCTTCTGATGTCAGCCCAGTGGGCTGATGTGGGAACTGGAGTCTGGAGTGAGCTTGAAAGGAGGTCTTGCCAATTTCATGTAATAACCCTTCAGTGACCAGAAAAGCATATGTATGTGTGCCAAAGACAGGAATTACAAGTGCCTATCCACAGGAGAGTATGTAAATGCATAGCGGTACAGTCACAATGGCACACGGTGCAACAAAGAGGAGAAAAGAGCTACCACCACCTGCAACAGGTGGATGAATCTTGCTTGTAAAGTTGAATGAAAGAAACCGGCCACAAAAGACCACATGGTGTATGATTCCATTTATAGAAAGTTCAAAAAGCAGGCAGAACTACTCTCTGCTGTTAAAAGTCATCATGGCGGTTACCATGCGGTGGTGACTGTGAGGGGCCTGAGGGGGATTCTGGGATGCTGTTCATGTTCTGGTTTTGATCCCAGTGCAGGGTCCCCCCCACCCCTCCCCCCAGCTCTGTTTTGTGTGTGCGTGTGTTTGAAAATTTGCAGCACTGCACACTTATGATTTGTATACTTTTCTACATGTGCGATACACTTCAATACCACTTACAGAAACACACAAAAACCTTGTGTGGCTGCCCACTGCACTGGAAAAAAGCCAAACTCCTTTCTGTGGTTTACAAGGGCCTGCTGGCCTCTCTGACATGCCATGCCGTCCTCACCCACCAATCTCCTGCCTGTCAGCCTTCTGGTGTTCCCAACACCTGCCAAGCTGTTTTCCTCCTCAGGGATTCTCACTCGCTGGTCTCTGCCTGGAAGGTGCTTTCCCTGTTCTTGCCAAGACCGCTCCCTTCATCCTCTGCACATCACCCTAAAGAAGTCACCTCTTCCGAGAGACCCTCCTGACGACCCCACCTAGAGTCCTCCACCCACAGCATGCTGTTTGTTTCCTACAGAACACTAGCCATAATCTGCAATTATTTTATTTGTTTACAGTTCATTTTCTGCCTCTGCCAGGAGACTGATAATCACAAACACACGGCACACTTACCGTGTGCCAAGCAATATTCAAACATCGTATTAAGGCATTGAATCTTCACCCCAACTCCATGGGGGGATACTCTTCTTAGCCCTATTTTACTGTTGAGGTAATTGGGGCTCAGAGAGGTTATATAAGTTGCTCACGGTCACACAGCTGGAAAGTAGCAGAGCCAAGGTTTGAACCCAGGCAGCCTGGTTCCAGAGTCCTTTCTTTAAACTCTACACTTTGACAGATCTGTTCTTTTTTTTATTCCCCTGTAGTATATCTGGGACAGTATGTGGCACACAGTTGGTACTCAATAAATGTTGGGGGAATAAATGAGTGTGCTAAAGAGACGTGAGGGGGAAGCTTGGATCCCAGAGTGGGTGTTGAGGGGAGGGATTGTGCAATGGAATCTGGAGTCCCAGGAGCAAGGTAACCAGCGAACCGACAGCAGATGGAGGTTCCCAGACAGCTGGAATTAACTGCAAGCTGTAGTCAGGACCAAGGCCTTGCCTGGACCTGGGCCTGGGCACATCTTCCCAAGTGGAGCCCACCTTCAGCCTCCCCTACAAACCCTACAAGACACATAGCCATTCACAGAGGGGGCTCTGCCTTAAGGGCATACAACCTGTCTAGGGTCCCTTGAAGGATGGAAGCCCCCCAGGAGGTGATGCTACCTATCAAGTGCCCAGGGCTGTGGTGGCCCTGGAGAGAGTGACATGAATCTTGTGAATCACCTGCCTCTGGCCAGAAACTTTCTGGACCTTGGAACCTCCCCCAGGGATAGGAAGGTCCTATGTGACTTACTTGGAGTCTAAGATGTGGCTACAGTGCTGGTCAGTGAAGGCCACAGCCTGTGTCATCATCTCCCTTGAACTTGTCATGAAGTTCCCACACCCCGGTAGCTGGAGCCAGCGCGTCACTGGTCCCCCACCATCTTCTGCACCAGCCTGTCCTGGTGGGGCTGTCACGGCTGTGAGCCTGCTCAATCCATCTCCCAGCGGGACCCCTCCTCATTCTTCATCAGCCTGTGGGACAATTGCGACCAGTTCCTGAAGAGCAAGGGCGCCTTAGGTGAGGCGTCGCCCTGAGGTCTGGCCCAAAGGATGCTCTACCCCTGCGGCTGCTGGGTGTGAAGTCAGCCCAGCTACAGATCACGAAACTAAGGCCCAGAGAAAGGAAGGGCCAGCCAAGGCTGCGCAGTGGGGGAGTTCTGGAGTCAGGACAGGAGCATGGGCCCCAAGGCCAGTGCTCCAGCAGCAGTTCCACATTGCCAGGGCCCTGGCCGGGAGCTTGTCCATTCTGCATCTTGAGACCTGGGCCTTCTGCGGGCCCGACTCTTTCGTGTTCGGAGAGGCTCAGACTAATTCCCGTGGGCATGAGCTCTGAGGTCAGGCAGACGTGAACTTGCACTTCCATCCCTGACAAGTGGTTTCACTTCTCTGAGCTCAATGTCCTCATCAGTAAAATGGGGCTGAAGTTCCTCTCACCTCACAAGCTTGGGGGAGCATTAAAGGAGCTGGTGCCCGGTGTAGAGCAAGGCCTCAGTGAATGGGAGCTGCCGCTATCACCCGCTCTTTCCTGAGCTCCCCGTTCAGGTTTTCCCAACCCTGCCCTCAGCCTGCCTCTTTGTGATGATGTTTTGCTCCAGCCATGAGCTCTCTGGCCTCCCTCTGGCCTCTTCAATGCCTTTCCTCCCACTCCCACCTCATAGAAATCCAGAGCCCTCCTTGCCAGCAAGGGGGGCAGGAACCGCTGGACACTTCTGTATTCATAGTTTTTTACTGGTCACATACAGGAAGGAAATTCATAAAGATCAGAACACTAGACACAAAGGGATGCTAGCAGTGAAGCCACAACTGCTGGGATCTGTCAGACATG